TTTCTTAAGCTAACAACACCCTCCCCAATGACCCTGCCAGTATGATTTCAAGCCACAACTTGGCTTTAAGAATTGGTTCCTGGTCTGGTCTTTAGTTCAGCACAGCCTGAACAGGACTCTGATGTGTGGGAACCACCTAGAAGCAATGGCCCATTGCCAGGCAGAGCAGAAAGGCTCCCGGATCAAATTAAGGCACTCAAGCCACAGAGTTTATTAAGTCAATCTACGCACGACCTGTGGTGAAAAGCGAGGGGCAGGAGAAGCGGCAGGTCGACACTTGCCACGGAGTGCAAGCGACCACACACCTGGATCCTGGGTCACGAGGAACTCATGTGTCCTGCCTCACTCTTGGCCTTTGCACCAATGCATGGTAACAAGGACCAGAATTGGGGTTTCAGCAAGGGGCCAGGACATGGACGGTGCTTGGGGCCACCACACGCTCAGGCTTCACTGTGGGGACACAGCTAACACTGCTGGCCCAGCTGTAGCCCACGTGACCCGCAGAGCAGCCCTGCTGTTAGACTGTGTTTTGGGGCTAACACCTGGGGCCCAACTGGGTCAGCACTGGGTGCCTGGTTTAGGGATGGCAGAGCTGTCTGCCTGGACGCGCACCGTCTGCTGCTCACCTGTGTCTTCTTCCTCATCTCCCACCTGTAATAACATTTCTGCTTATTCCATCTTTAGATCATGTAACACATCCTACAGGCTACTGCCACCTACATATCACACGCTATGAGTTTTCCTACTATCTGTACTCTTGACGTGTTTTCAGTTTCACATGTCCAGTTGGTTTTCTCACCATCGATTGCAGCATTGACAACGCTCAAATAACAGCAAACCATCGTGACACCTGCACTGTGGTAATTTGCATGGATTCAGGCTTTTCGGTGGCAAGTAACAGACGCAAACTGTTTGGGGCTGAATTGTGTCTCCCCCAAATTCATAGGTCGAAGTCCTAAACTCCACTATTTCAGAATGTGATCTTATTTAAAGGTCTTGGGGACGGTGATTAAGTTAGAATGAGGCCTTTAGGGTGGGTCTTAATCCAATAGGACTGGTGTCCTTATAAAAGGAGGAGATTAAGACACAAATATACACAGAAGGACAACCTTGCGAGGACACAGGGAGAAGACGCTCATCTAAGCCAAGGAGAGAGGCCTCGGGAGAAGCTAACCCTGCTGACACCTTTGTCTCTCACTTCCAGCCTGCAAGGGAGTGCATTTCTGATGTTTCAGCCACACAGTCTGTGGCCCAACTAGGGGAGGCCCAAGCTGACTAACCCACCAACTCGAGCTGAAGAATATTGGTTTAGAGTGTCGCTGGGGCCCCAGGGCAGCAGCCCCGCCAGCCCCGGGGCTCAGGGCTTGCTCGCACCTTTCCTGGGTTGCTCTCTGCTCACCTGCCTGTGCTCCCTGGTCCTCAGACTCTGTGGCCAGTTGCTCACCCACAGCTCCTCCATTACACATTCCGAGTCCACTCCATGCTGATGCAGACGCAACACTCTCCACACCAGTGACCCACCAGAAAGCCCCTGCATCTCCCCATGGGAGACTTCCTGCACTTTTGTCTGACGCTTCCAGAAAATTCTAGAAAGCTCCCTGAGTTGGTGGTTTCCAAGCCAGTGGGGCAAGGGCAGCATGTGGGATGTTAGGAGCAGCTCTGCCAGCGTCTGGTATCAAACGGGCCAGATTAGCACTTTAGCTTCATGTCTGGTAAAAGCAAGCAAACTTTAAACTGACACATCACTCCACTGCATTGTTCTGAAGTAGAAAGTCTCTTTCTAAAGAAAAAATAGAAAACATATAAAACTTTCCACTACCAAGCTGTGCACTCACATATGAAAGTTATATTGTTGTTAAAGTTATTTCCCTTCCCCGGCCGAAATCCAGTGGTTTTGAGGTACAAGATAGCATTGGCCCCCAAATGGACCTCAGCCTGGATTCCAAGGTCAGGGGGAGGGGAGGGATCCTGGCCCCTTAGGAGGCGTGTGTGTGTGTGTGTGTGTGTGTGTGTGTGTGTGTGTGTGTG